TTAAGGCAAGGCAAATACTCAATGTTTCTGTGGGTTTGCTCTGTCTAGAGGTTCTGGAGTTTATTTTTCTTTGCTCCTCCTTCCATTAAAAAAAACTGAATGAACTGCATAGTGGATATCTGGAGTCTATCTGGATGCTGATCAGTTAATAAACTGGATGTTTTTATCCTAAAAGCCTTCAGACAATCCGACACGCAGAGGAAAACGGCACAGGATCCATCCATCCTCCCGCCTACTGTACAGATCTGACTGAAGAGCAGGCAGAGCCAGACTCCTGGATCAACATCTGATCCGTCTAACTTCCCACAGATGGACACTCGCTGACCAGGACAGGTTTTCCCTGCAGACTGAATGAAGGAAGGATGTTTGAATTCCTCTGGATCACTGGGATCATATCAGCAGACCTGAATGATCCAAGTGTGACATAGTTCACGTTGTTTATGTTAAATCCTGCTAAAATGCACCATCTGCTGGGAAAATGGTGCATTGCATTCAGCTTAGGAAGAGCAGGGCATTATGGGTAATCCTACCTACTATCAGCATCCCTGATGAGGTGACCTGTCTGCTATGTGATAAAGAAATATAATTTATGCATTTTATAAAAGATTTTATGGTTTTTATTTTTGCTTATTATTGAAATATGTTTAATCCAGGTTAATAATAATAATAATAATAACGAATTTTATTTGTAACGCACTTTAAATTTGAATTCAAATCTCAAAGTGCTACATTTAAAAAAAGGGAAAATTAAAACAAGGTTAAAAGACCATAACATTAAAAACAGAGTAAAAAGACAATCATTAAAATCAATACAATCATTTCTAATGTAAGCATTTCTAAAAAAGGAAAGTTTTCAATCCTTTCTTCAAACAGTCCACCGTCTGTGGGGCCCTAAGGTGGTCTGGGTGGGAATTCCTTAGACGGGCAGCTGCGGCTTCAAAGGCCCTGTCGGCCATTGTTTTTCACGCTTTTTTATGTTTAGGTTACGCTAGTCCTGCTATTATGTCGTTTTTGTTGCATTTCAGAAATGTTTACATCATGATAAAGTGTGGTGGGAATTTCCCACACAGCAACACTGCGGCCATTAGGGCCACTGGAAGAAAGTAAACTGAACTAAACTTTTTTAAATATTATTTCAATTAAATATGGGAAAAAGTCAGAATTCTGACTTTTTTCTAATATTATACCAAAATCAAATTAAAAAATCAGTAAATTTTTTTTTCAGTGGCACTAATCCTCTTCCATAGATCCTCCTTGCAGGAGCTTGTTTTATGCCAGTGACTGAATTTGATGATGCAGCTTGTTTTAGCAAATCTCTTCTGGCAGATGGTTAAAATAAAGCTGCGTTTTATATTAAGACTTTTATATAAAGATAAGGTTGATTTATGTTTTTGCATTGTTCCAAGATGCAAGTTTATTTAAAGGAAAATATAAAAATGGCACCCAGTAAATAAAATGTCAGCATTTTATTTTATTTCTCAGAGCATTTTAATTAAAGATCTTCCCTTCTTTTCTATGCCATCACTGTCATTTTCAAGGATTTTTGGGGGTTACTGGTTAATGGCTAATCCTAATCTGGTTTATGCCAGCGACTGACCGTACCTACATGCCCATTATGTGAAATGCAGATGGAGAATTAAAGAAGAACTACTGATGCTTCAGCTCGCTGTCAGTTATTGCCACACCGAGAGAGAAGCCACATAGGATCCTCTTATAGGTTCCTCATTCAGACAGCAGGGGGAGCTACAGACTCACCAATAGAATCACAGCATTTTAGACTCAGTTTAATTAATCCTTGGGATTTCTCCTTCAGGGAAATTCTGGTTCCAGTAGTTTATATAGAGAACAAATAGTTAAAGCAAGATGCAATTAAAGATAAAAAAAAATACAACAGACAATATTAAAAGATTGTTTATGGTACAAGAAAGCATAAAAAAGCTGTAAAGTCCTGGAATATGTTTCCCTTACATATAAAAATATCTGCACAGTAGAAAGCTAAGAGAATATTACACAGCAGCTGATGGATTATTGCAGTTAGACTGCAGAGATGGACTGACCTTAAGTACAAAATGAGTTATTGCACAGTTAGAGAAGAATATTCCACATGAGGGACAATAGGACATGTTTTAGATGTCCAAGAAGTGGACCAGATTATTTCCCAATAAACTGATTAATCCGCTTCAGTTTTGCACCAATAATTACAACAATAATCCATCAGGAACCTGGAGGTTCTGATGTTTGATTCCTCCTTACATTTGGTGGAAAAAGACAGCATTCTGGGGGGGGTAGACTGAGGAGGAGGAGGAGGAAGATGAAGAAGCTGCTTGTCTCCGAGTGTTTGAGTGATTTATTGATGTTAAATCAGGAAGAGCAGCTGGTGTTCTTCCCTCTTCAACTCCATTACTGTCCTGCTTTCATCTCCACCTGATGGGGGGGGGGGGGGGGTTGCTGCATTATTTTCATTGTGAATCTGCTCAACACTTTGCTGCTGAATTGGAATATGATAATTATCCTACTAGCATTTCCATTTAATAACTAATTAATAGAAATAAATCTGTTTACATGATAACTGAAAATAACATGGCGGATTTTTTCATGTGACATATTTCCATTTTCCGCCAGAGGGCGCCATCATCCACTAACTCTTTTCTTATTCTTGGTTTTATCAAAAGACCTTTAGATCGCGGTAGATTACGAAAAAAAAACTGTTTCCATTGAAGAGCAAAATATCAGAATTTCAAAATGACTGAAATTTCACGGCCATCGAATCGTAAGAAAGTTCTTAATGAAATAATGAACTTAATGGAAACGCAGCTTCTGTGAGAACCAGACAGAAAAGAGAAAACCAGAACCGACCCAAACGAGGTCCAGATCCACGATGAAAAGATCCACCACCAAAGAAAGCTAGAAATGAAACTGGGAACGCTCACTTTGATCGGGGAGTCCTGATTGGCTCTTCTGACCAGTAGGGGGGGCTAAGCTAAAATCATGCTGCTGACTAGCATGAAACCACAGAAGAAGAACAAGCAGACCCTGAGGATGCTGGAGATAAATGCAGGCTGGAGAGAAAATGTGGATTGGAGGGAACAATCCTGCAGGACATCTAGACCAGGGGGGAAGGATCAGGAGTGAATCAGGAGCCAATCAAGGGGATGATAAGGGGCCAATAGCGGGCCAATTGGGGGGCAATCAGGGACCGATCAGGGTTGGACCAGGGGCCAATAATGTGCCGCTTAGGGGCCGATCGGGGAAGGATCAGGAGTGAATCGTGGGCCAATGAGGGGCTAATCAAGGGGATGATAAGGGGGCAATTGGGGGGTAATCAGGGACCGATCGGGGGTGGATCAGGGGCCAATCTTGGGGATGATTAGGGGCGGATCAAGGGACCGATCGGTGGAGGATTAGGGGCAGATAAGGGTCCAATCGGGCGGACCACAGGCCGATTGGGGACTGATCAGAGACCAATCAGGGTCCAGTGAAGGACCAATCAGGATGATTTATGATACCAGAGTTTTCCTTCACAGGGGACTAATCGCTGAATCAGCTTTTCTCCTGTCAAAAAGGGGGCGGAGCCTGTACAGACATCTGTGACCAATCCGGTAGAAGCACCAGAATGCATCAGGTCTCACCACAGGCGTAACTTTCTAAAGGACTGGTGTGGACGTGTGACTCTAGTAAACAGACCAAAGCTCTCAGCAACATCTGGGACAAATTTCTACATCTGATTTAGCTGCTTTTGAAGGAAGATAATCCCTGATGGAGCTGAAAGGTTAAAACATCCATCGATCCATCCAGATGTTCCTGGATCCATTGATGGATGAATGAAACTGTTCCTACTAAGGAGACTGTTGGCATCAGAATCAGC